CCCATTTCCACAATATCACTATCATGGTAACAAACTAGCACTTACTCTCTTACCAATATTTTGAATATATGCCAAACCAAACAAACTCACTGCCATTGAGTCTCTTCTAATTCATTGTAACCAAGTTGACCCATCCCTTGGGTTTCGAAGGCTGTCAATCTTTTCAGAGGCAGAAAGCAGGAAAGTAGAGTTGAGCTGCTGACCTTATACCACCCAACGATTAGCCAACTGTGCCAGTAGGGCTCTTTGAACATCTACCGTGTCCTCAAAATGTCTTACAGCTTTTCAAAATTTTAAGTGAATTTTTCTTTTTTAGATAATTGCAGACTTATGTGTAGTTGTAAGACCTATATCATACAGACAAGGCCGATCTACCCTTTAACCACTTTGCCCCATGAGTAACATAATTTTATTGATATTACTATACAATATCACAAGCAAGCTCTTGATAGTGATACAATCTACCAGTCGAATGCAAATTCCCTTATTGTGGTTGTACTCATTTCTAAATACATGTGCGTATTTAATTCTGTAAAATTTTAAACACACATAGATCCAAGGATTATAAATAATTAAATCCAAGAGGAATAAATTGTCGTAGAGCTTAAGCTCTGAGCACGTGGTTTGAAGACAGGATGGATGACAGTGAAGGCCCCAAATCCATTTGCAGGGTCCCCACGTGGAAGAAACCTCCAGGGAATCAATCCCCTCTGACCATTGACCAGCAATGTGAATAGCCTTGCTATTAGACAGAGTGCATGGGAAAGTGGATTCATGAAGATGTAGTTAGGTTAAATTTAACACCGTATCATTTTCATTTAAAATTTGTTCTAGTTTTTTTTTTTTTTAATAATTAATTTTATCAGGGGCTCTTACAACTCTTATAACAATCCATACTTCGATTGTATCAAGCATATTTGTACATTTGTTGCTACCATCATTCTCAAAACATTTTCTTTCTACTTGACTCCTTGGTATCAGCTCCTCTTTTTTCACTCCTTCCCCCACCTTCCCACCCTTGTGAACCCTTGATAAATTATAGTGATTATTATTATTTTTCACATCATCTGCTGTCTCCCTTCACCCATGTTTCTGTTGTTCATCCACCTCGGGCTGGGGGGTGGAGTTATATGTTGATCACTGCGATCAGCTCCCCTTTCTTCTCCTTTCCCCCCATCTTCCCCCATCCTC